TTCAAGTACTGACAACTTTTCCCAGGTGGCTAAGTTATACCTAGAGATAGGGAAACTTTTCCCTTATCTCTTTATAAATCTGAAAAACTGACATGAATTTATTGGTCAATGGAAACCAAAAAATAACATGAATTTCTTGATCAAAATCCGAAAAAAGGCCCCCTAATTGAGAAGAGAAAGCTGTTACTTGCATGCAGGTGTGGGAACCAGCCATTTTTGTTTCTAGTGCACTTTTTGTCATCCTCAGTCTCTACAATCTATCCTACTACCTTCGCTGTGGCCTCTCTATCCGCTCATGGTGGAACAATCAGAGAATGACAAGGATAACTTCTGCAACATCACGGTTGTTTAGTGTATTGGTTGTCATTCTCAAGTTTCTTGGATTATCAGAAACTGTGTTTGAAATCACACCTAAACACCAGGATAGCTCTGTGGATACTAGTGCAGGTGAACTCACCTTCGACAAGTCGCCCATTTTTGTTCCTGGCACGACCCTCCTGTTGCTCCACATGACTGCACTTGCAGTGGGCTTGTTAAGAATATTATTGCAGCCATGGGCCCATGCTGGGTCTTGGTTTGGGTTAGGGGAGATATGCTGTAGCATATGGATGGTGCTTTCCTTCTGGCCGTTTGTGAAAGGTCTCTTTAAGAAGGGGGTTTATGGAATCCCCTCCTCTACTCTATACAAATCAGTTGCTCTCTCTTCACTCTTCGTGCACCTCTCTCTCTGGGCTTCATCAAATTGAATCTAATCTTACCTCTAGGCTTCAGAAACTTAAACTTGTTTTCTAATTGCCTAGCATTGGTTATTGACTCTCAAGAAGAATTAATTACTTTTATGGTCGTATCTACTTGTAGACTGTGGGCCTCAAGTTCAAGAGAATCTACCTGTGGGCATAGTCTGCGGCTCTATGGATACAAGCCTTTTATTTATGTATTATATTTATATGTATGTTTTTTTTTCGTTTGTCTTGGGCTGTCTTAAGGGTTTGTTTGTTTGTTTGAAATCTGATATTTAAAAGTGCAATAATTACATTAAGAGGAATATTGGTATTGGTGAACTTTTCTTTCCTTGAACTCTGAATCCAGAGAATGTTGTTCTGAATTCTAAATTCTGAAAATTATCAAATATCCATTTTGACCCTATATATGAGAATTTTTATTTATCTTTTTGGAAGTATCATTGAAAAACAAAAAGTTGTATGATTGCATTTTAAGAGATAAGAAATAAGAGGAAATGAACAACTATTTTTCTCTTAAAATTAAAAGATTCCTCTTAAGAGATAAAAAAATTAATCATGATACCAATTCCACGAGTCTATAGATTCCACATGTTTGGGTCTTTTATCACGATAGAGTAGAATTTGTAAAACACAGATTTTTAGGGGTGTACGCCTTTAATATTATATAACGTTTCTGATTCTTTGTTGTGAAAATTTATAAATACCAGAAAGTTTTCAAAGGTTACTAAATGCCATAGTTGTGCAATTTGGTGGAATTTTCAAATCCTAGGGGAGATAGCTAGCCAGCCATTTGAAATTTCAAATAATCTTTGCAAATACTCGATGAACACTCATGCATCCTTGTGCCCGGAGTTTAAATCCCGACAGTTCTACTCGTAACACTAGGCCAATCATGGGCACATAAGAAAGAAGATTCTAGTATTTATTAAAAAATTAAAAAATTGTTAGGAAATATTTCGTTTAGGTAAATTAAATTTCATTATTTGCAGGCATTCTATTATGAACTATCTTTTTCTTTACATGTATAAAAGGGACGAACAATTTCAGTTAATTTCCCATCCTTAAAAATAGATGCCACAGAAGTTGGTATAAGCCGTAAAAGTTGATTGAAAAATTGAAGACAAATGTTGCGATATTGGTGATAGGACGAGAGTACCCAACCATTTTTGGCCTTTGGTTAGGGTTGGGCCCATAGAATTTAACAAATTACTTGCGCCCCTACTTGACATTATTATAATTTTTTTTTCTGTATTGTATGATATTGTATTTCAATTATTTTTTCTTTTACTTTTTTTTGGGTAGAATACAAAAGCCTCCCCTGAAGTTTCTAACAATCATAAGAACCTCTCCTATATTTTCATTTTTACAAAAATCTCCCCTTTATTTTTGAAAAATTGAACAAATACCTCCCTTCTGTCAATAATTAAGATGGAAAACATTAAAGAGATGATATTTTTTTCAAAAAATATATTTTGCCCTTTTACAAATTTTGTTTTTTCTCAAATACCCTTTTACAAATTTAGGATGGTGGAGCATCTTCTAGAAACTTTCCATCTTTCCGATGTATGTGAAGCTCCTCGTCGGGTTACCCCACCAGGACTCCATGCATTTACTCTAGCGACATCGCATGACGGAAAACGAATCACTGTTGTGACTTGGCAGCAAGAGAATGACTTTAGACACATCGAGATCTTTGATCTAGAGCTAGAGTCGTTTTGCAGGGTAACAGAGATTGTAAACCAAAAATTTCACCACTACAATCCTTTTTCTCTCTCTGAAATCAGGTTTTCTTGGATACCACTGATTCCGAGGTGATTCGGCTTCAAGGGACTCAATCATTCTACATCTCGAACCTATAACTTCTCCAGTGACAGAGTTGAGAATGCTCCAGCTTAACGGATCATCCCCTTCATGTTCTCCCAATGGTGACCTGATCGCGTTCAACAACGACTCAACCGTTTTGCATCTCAAACTTGTAACAATGCATTTCTATCGTGTTCACCTGATGGCAAGTTCATAGTGTTCAGGTCTGGGAGATCCGTCCAACTGGTCAACGAACGGGAAACTAATAGCCTTCTCATCCAACCAACACAATACTAGCAACATGGAGGCCTTCAGCATATACCTTATCCGTCCAGATGGAATGGAACTCAAACAAGTCTACGTGGCAGGGGTAGAGGGATCAACAGAGGCAGACAAGGAGAGGATCAATCTCGTCCAATAACATCTTCATCGACATGTGAATAGCTCCATCTCAATTGTTGTTGCATCTTAGCTGAGGAGCCTCCTGCCCGTTCTAATATTCTTTCTCCAATATTTGTAATTCCATAATTTTCTCGACTACTAGAGATGTTAACCATCTTCCGTTGGATTTTTTCAACATTCTTTCCAAAGTTGTGGAGATCTACACCTTCCTTGATGATGCAAAGACACCTTTTCACAAAGCTCTTTTGTTGTGCTACTTTTACTGCTTGGATATAGTTGAGCGCAGTTGTCTCCAGACTCTCCACCTTGAGAGCAGCCTTTCGAATTTCTGAAATCCAATTATGGACTCATTGGTCTTCTTCTTGATTTGTATCTGCATCTTTTAAGAAGCATTGCATCCTCCTCAGTTCAGTTTGAAGCCCTTCAACTTGGTCTTTCACTTCGGACAACAAAATTGCTTCTTGAATGAGTAAATCGCCCCGCTTAGTTACAACGCATGAAATTACAGAGTCGTCCATCTGATATTCCATTCCCTTTTTCCTGTCCCTTCTCATTGTCTCAGAACAAGACAATTAGGTCTATTTATAGTGCAAATTAATTATTTCTTTCTACTCGGCAATGTGAATGTTGAATCATGTGAGTTCTCTCTCTCTCTCTCCTTCCCCAAAGTCATTGGTATCAACGAAGATTTCCTTGCAAGTTCTCACCAGTTTGGGCGGCGTATCGATGAAGCCAGTGTCCATGCCGGTTCAATTTCAGCCATACGGTGATCTATACGTTGTGAGATTGGACGGAAGTGGATTGAAGAGGCTGACGTGGAACGGGTATGAGGATGGAACCCCAACCTTGAATTCAACGACGGGGGAGATGGATGTGGGTCGGCTGTTGGTGGAGACCATGGTGGAAGATAGGCTCATGGGTCAATTTGATGAACCGCTTTGGATTTCTTGCGACATGTAAGAGATAATAGATTCTATAAAAGTTCAAGGCTTCATTTATGGCATCATTGCAGAGAAGGGGAAGCTTGTGAGCAGAGCCTTCGACGATCTTCATGCCTTGGCTTATAGGACAATATGACAGCGAAGGAGATTGTGACTTGACTTGCTGTCATTAACCAGGAAGAGGCATTTTCCAAGAAGCTCCACCCTAAGAGCTGCCCTCCTGTGTCATCAACAGTGGGGAGTGGATCTTTCGCCATTAGCAACTACAATGAATATGATGTTGAAGGGGTTGAGAATGATCTAAATGTTGAAGTACAGGAGTGTTGATAACCCTGCATTTTGATGCCTTAAGGGCATAAATTCAGGGGTATTTTCGGCTTTAGAATATTCAAAGTGTACAATTTTCCCAGTTAAAATCAATTATGTGACCTCTGAGGGTTTCTATGAAAATTATGTAGAAAACTGGGAAGTTTTCTAGGCTGAAGTGCAGTTTTTGGGAAGTTGGTGTGAAAACCAGTTGAGAAAGGGGGTATTTTTGTAAGGAATTAAGAACAGGAGGGCGCCTCCTATCTGCTAAACCCTATTGGCACCCATCCTATTGTATTACCATGCTCCCCTCTCATTAGCAAACCCTAGGGAGCCTTTTTAACCTAATCTTTTCACTCTCAGCAAACCCTATCCGCCCCTATGTGTTTAATCTCCTTTATAGCTTTTAAACCCTAGGGTGCCACCTATTCTACTAATCCTCACCATTCAGCCCCTCACCTCCAAATCTCAGCCACTCCCTCCATCTTATATCCCAACCATTCAATCTAGGGCACCACCTATTCTTTTAATCTCAACCCTTTAACCCTAGATGTTCTAATCTACACCCTCCATTTCTAGACGCCCAAATCTCAGCCCTACATAATATTGGGTGCCCTCTCCTTTTATTTTTCAGCCATAGGATCACCGCAAAACCATCTTAGCATCAATTAGAAACCTTAGGGCATCCCTAACTTTGCAAAATCCCAGTTGCCGCTCCCCATTTTTCTCCCTATTTCCAGTTGTGTCCACCCTTCTCTATAAAAAGGGTCCCATGGGCCCTGTAGAAGGGGTTGGTCAATTCACCCAGGTAAGAAGGAAGGCTGATTTTGAGAAGTTCAAGGGTAGACGAAGAGGAGGATGCACAGGCAAGAGGAGGGGTTCTTACTTGCAATTTGCCAACACCACTACTGCCACCTCTGGATTTGAATCCCAACCATTTTTCTTCAGTTTTAGAATTACTTTCTATTCTTTAATTTCCAATTTAATTTTTCCTTATTACAAATTTATTTTTATTAGATTTAATTTGTGTTTTATTTCTTTTCTGCAGATCTAAAATTTGGCCAAGTAAGACAGAAGGCCTATTCGAGAAGTTCGAGGGTCAAAGGAGAGATCTAGAAACTACTACCTCTGATCAGATTCTCAAACATTTTTATTTCGTTCCTTTTATATATTTGTCTCTGTTATTTATTTTTATGCACTTGTTATTCTTGGTACTGTTCGAATTTGGTTTTAATGAATTCAATTTTTCTTTAATTAATTAATTTTATATTTCTACAACTCGTATTTGTGTTCTTTCTCCCGGATCTAAGTATGTAATTATTTTTCCCTTGCTTCCCTGTGCAAACGACTCTCGTTCTCATTACTTTTATTACGTTTGTAATTGTTTGAAAAATGAAAAAAATTTATAAATATTAAACTGGTGTTCCAAAGTGGTTAATGACAGGCTTCCGGACACACCAAGTTTTTGGCGTCATTTTCGGTGAAGCACGGAGAAAAATTTTTATTTACTTTTTCTGGATCTGTTTCATTATTTTTTTCGTTTTATTACTTGATCCGTTATCTCAGTTTAGTTCTTTTTTCTCTTTGATTCTGCAGGACGTTATAGCGAAAAGTGGGGAACCAAAGCATTGCGGAACTACGGGACAGAAGAGAAGAGAAGAGAAATTGGATTGCGTTTCAAGTGTAGTTGTTCTATTTTATTTTTAATTTTATTATTTTTTGGTAGAATAGTGATTTTCAAATTTTTTTATTAAT